TTAGTTGTGGCATGTGTATTTTTATAAGAAAGATAAAATAGACATATTCATTAAAAACTCTAACATTAAGGAGAGACTTGGATAGAAAAAAGCAAAGAGATAAATGATAAATAAAATATATATATAGAGAGAGAGAGGAGAAAGACAAATCATAAAGGGTATTTGAATTTTTCCCTTAATAATAATATAGGGGTTTATATCTATCATTTAACATAACCACAAAAAATTTCCTACACACACAACATTTTGTGGGACCCGCATGTTTTTTAAAAAAAACAACTACGGCACGCAAAACGAATCTCTATAACATAACACAATCATCTTTCCTACAACATAACTCTTATAAAACCCAATAATATATCCCTTTAGATAAGTGTCTATTGGGCTTTTTGAACAGTAGATATTATACAAACTCACTTATTTGTATTAAGAAATTTCATATTATTTAATAATAAAATAGGAACATAAAGATTGAACTCGTAATCACGTGATGATAGAAACTTTGATATTATATAAAAAATTAATTTAATCTAGAAATTTAAAGTGTTTGATAAAGATTGTTTGATAAAGATTATGCTAATAGTTTTATATTATAATTATCTAATAACGAAATTGACGAGGTGATGCACGACTATGTTGCACCGACACCGATACGGGACATGGGATACGACACGACACTCCGACACGTTAATTCTAAAAAATGTTAAATTTCGACACGTTAGGATACGTTTTGATATTATATAATATTTTTAATTTATGTAGTGTATATTATATTTAATATTCAATAATTTAATAAAAAATAAAGTCAAACTTATAATACCCATCAATTTTGCAAAGAAACATAAGATATCCCAAATGTTTATATTAAACTCAATAAAATATTAAACTCAATAAAATAGTAACTGTAATCTAACGAATCTAATAGTTTGAATTCAAAATGCAACGCAACATAACTTTTGAATCTTTTTTGAGTCTTTGCAACGAGTATTGGAGTGTCGGAAAGTGTCGGAGTGTCGGTGAGTGTTGGGAAGTGTCGGATACGACACATCAGGAATTTTGAAGTGTCGGTGCTTCATAGATGCACGACGCTAGCTGAAAAAGATAATTTTAAAAATAATAATAACAATAATAATTTATTATTATTTGGGAAATATAATCATCATGTTACAAGACACAAGTTATATCATGTTGCAGAGACAAAATTGTTGAAATCCACTGTTTATTTTGTTTTTTATTTAAATAATGGATCCTACCAATTTTATTTTTATAACATGATATAATTTATGTCATGTAACATTACCAAATACAATGCCTTATATTATTATATAGAAAGAATTATTCATACAACTATCCATGCAATAAACAGAAATGGTGGTAGTTATTTGGACCGGACATTGGGCCAATTCAAGGTCCAATATTCATTCCTCCACCTTAAGAAAAAATGTATCATCACAATTATAAAATAATTTTACATTCAGGACGAATAATTACTTTAAAAAAAAAAATCCGCCACATTCCACACTCACATCCTCATTTTCTACTTAAAATATTTACAAATTAAATTTGATAAAACTTTTTAAAACTCTTTTTTGCTTAAAACTAACTAATGAAAACATCATAGTTCACTCAAAGTTAGAAAATTCTTAATTTTCCCGTTTAAAATCCTAACATTATTTTTTGTAAAATCCTTTAAATTTATTAAAGTTTCAGTTTTGTATCATTCAAATATTCTATCCTTTAAATTTATCATAAACCCCAATCATTTGAGTAGAAAATGAGGGTTTGAGAATTTAAGAGATTGAGATAAACAAATCATTAAAGATACTTTATTATAGTAATAAAAAAATTATAAGAATTAGACTGGAATAAAAAATTATTAAACGATTAAAATCGAGAATTGACCATAATAATATGATCAAAATAACAATCAATCAGGAAAAAAAAATCAAAACATCAATTAAGCCTAAAAGTTATAATTGTTTCACGTCAAGCTTAAAATTTTCTACAGTTCTAAAATCCAAATCCTTATAGCATTTTATTATATGATAAACTTAATTTGATAAATGGGAATCATTGGACAAGAAATTGCATCCTCTGCTATTCTTTTAGAAACGTAGAAATCCTCAACCGATCTTATATCACTCTCTTTTTTTAAAATTTGTGTCTTATACCACTTTATATCCGTAATCTTTTTATTAAGTGTCCATCACAAACAAATGAAACATAGTGTGCTCGAATAGGATTGGTCCACGTCAGTCATTGAGAACACTTGTCAAATGGTTGTTGGCAGGAACGCGACATGTGAAATAGCTATTGCTAAATGTGCTCATATTTTAATATGAACGTTTTCCGCGTGCAATTAAATAACAAAGAATTAGCCCCCCCCCCCAAAAAAAAAAAAAAAAAAACTCATTCAAACAAAAATAATTTTATATTATAAATTTTTATTTATTAAACATCTAATTTTTTTATTAATTTTTAAATTATTATAATTTCTCGGTTTTAACAACAATAAATATTTTTCTAAACAATTTATCTAATTTAAATTAAAACAAGTGTTCATTGTTTGTATAAATCTAAAATCATAAAATTTTATATCGTGGAAATTAAAATTTTTTTTCCTAAATTTAGTATTAATACTCATTTAATTTCTTTGGTATTTCAATTTAAGTTTTGCTTAAGTGAGCGCGGCAGTAGAAAATGGTGGTCTATAAGTATAATCTGAATATTCTTTCTCCGTTAATGAGTATGTATTCTCCATTAATAATCTACACACTCACACACACATTCACAACTCGCAGGAGACTTTCTCTTTGTTTCTGTAGCGGATTCTCTCTTACAAATTACAATACATTAAAGAAAAGCTGAATAAATGAATAGCTTATGTAAGTTTTGCAGGATTTAAACGATGGACAGATGTTAGTGAGTAAGATATAATGTTTTGAATCAAAGTACCTTATTTATAAATGAATTTCGTGAGTGTGATTTTGCTTTCTTGATGCACTCAATAAGCTTTATGGCTTTTTCTTACTGCCAGCCTTTTGTTCATAATTTCTTAAGTAGCAGTTGCCTTGCTTAACTTTTGTATTTGGTTTTTGGTTGTTACTTGTTAGATAAGGGCAATGCTTACATGAAAGTTAGGTAGGAATTTTTATTTTATTTTTTAACTTTTTAGGTTTTATTCTTTCTGGATTTATATGCAATCTCATCAATACCATTTCTTACGTATTTATGCATAATAAATAAGGGGTAAGTCCCTCATGTTTTGCAGGACATAACGTAGGTATCTTGCAGACACAATATCGTATGGGATTCATTGTTTTAATAGAAAAGAAAAGAAAAAAGGCCAAAACATTTTTTTTTATGGATTAGCAAGACATGGTTGTTGTTTTCCTGCAATATAACAGTTGCATTTCCAATAAATAATGGTTGATTGACCATGAAAGCGTAAATTTTGAAAAAACAATAACTTTGAAAGCCATGTCACAGAAGATTTTGGAAAATTAAATATATTCAGATATCTTAATTTGTCTTTTTATTTTATTTTTAAGGCGTATATCTTAGCAACTTGGCATCTTTTCCATCGAATCATTATGGAAACTCTAACTTACGAACTCGGCAACGGAATAGCTATAAAACAAGTTATGGAGGATAACACCACTCTAATACTATGTTCATATCATAGAGATTTAGGATTCGTTTAATGTACAAAATAGAATATGGATGATAAAGGGTCGGATAAACTCATATCCTTTTTTTTTATTGATATAGTGGTGGCATTAAGACTCAAATCAATAATTTTATGAAAACTATCTAAATCTCTCCTCACTAAATCAATTTTAGTGGTTTGATAAACTCATCCATGTGCCTAAAATGATTATGTTACGGGAAATATGTCATTTTGAACAACACAAATTATATTATTTTATAGACATAAAAATATAGAATCCACATATTTATTTATTTTAATGAAACCCACGTCTTTTTTGTAATTTTTAAACAAGGATAAGATTGAAAAATGCCTTTTTTTTTCTTATGAACAAACACAAATAAATGCACCTTACGGTAAAACTATTTTTTTTAGAGTTACCAACCCTAATTATCTCTTTGAGACGAGTTGGCTCTCTCCGTTATCCCCACGAGCTTCGACTCTTTGAGCCGGCTATGAGACTAATACGGAGTGCGGGGGAACAGTGATGACTAAAGGTTCAGCCCCCTCCCCAAGAATGGATTCAGCAGGAATCGAACACATATCCAACCCCACTAACTCAGCGCCAAGTTACCAACTGAGCTGTACCCATTGGGTTCCTTACGGTAAAACTATGACCAGTCATTTGTTTTACCCATTAAAATAAGATTTACATTTATCATTTAACATGACAAAATTCTTTTTCCTAACCACATTTTTTGAAATAAAAAAAATTACGGCACGCAAAACGAATCTCTATAACAATCACTTTTCCTACAACATAACTCTTATAAAATTCTTAAAAAAAATTTCATTAAATGCAAATAAGTTATTTATATTAAGTTCAAAATGATATAATTTAAGGTGAAAATTAAAGTGTTTTTATAATTATAATTTATTCTAATATTATAATAGTTTTTTTTATACAATTATTAATAGTCTTTATTATTATAATTTTTTAATCTTTCTATTTAAAATAACATTATTTTAAAAATGAATGTAGATAACATATATATATTCAATATAAAAATATTAAAGCCTAAAATAAAAGAAGATGTTGTAAAAAATTAAAATAATCCTGCGTATGATAGGTTGATAAGGAAGAAAATAACAAGTGGAAAAAGGGAATAGAATTTAAAATCTAACCTCAAATTAAAATTAGCCCATCATCTCTCTCTCTCTCTATTTTTTTCCAATAATAGTTAAATTTTAAATTAAAAAATTAATCAAGATGAGATGAGTAAGGTGGCTACGGCGTCTATGCTTAGTAGTTAAGGTTCCAAGAAGAGTAATATTTTGTCTCCGTGGACTCAACACTCTGAGAGAGAGAAACATCTTTGCGTTTCCGTGTCTACAAGTCTTTCTGTGAGACTTGTTTCTAATCTCCAACGCAAATACGCAACACGAGTTCTCAACTTCATTTTGTTTCTTCTCAAACAACAACAACAATTACTACCTTTTTTTTTGTGTTTTTAAATTAGAAACTGAGAATAAAGGCGCAATATTTATCCCTCCTCGTTCGCAGAATTGATCTCTGAACCCGACCCATTTTTGAAATTGGAAAACCCAGTTAGCCTATCCCTTTCTGGGTGTTCCCAAATATGAAGCTTCGGAGATCATGGCTGGGTTTTTTTCTAGGGTTTATGTTGCTGTCCTCGGCTATGGGGAAATTCGTGGTTGAGAAGAACAGCTTGACGGTGACGTCGCCGGAGAAGATCAAGGGCACGCACGACAGCGCGATTGGCAACTTTGGGATACCACAGTACGGAGGTAGCATGGCTGGGAACGTCGTGTACCCCAAAGATAATCACAAGGGTTGCAAGGATTTCGATGAGTCTGGGATTTCCTTCAAATCCAAGCCTGGAGCTCTTCCCACTATCGTTTTGCTCGATCGCGGAAGTAAGATTCCGATTCTTGTACCTCGACTATTTTCATGTTTGATTTTAAGGTTTGGGGTTCGGATGGTTATGTGTTTGTGTTTTTTGCCCTTTGGGGTTTTCGCTTTTTGTTAATTTTGTGACTGGTAGTTATGAGATTTTGTACCTCGTTTTGCTTTGTTGCAGATGCTTTTTTATCCCTTCGCTGATTGTTCTGCTTGTTGGTTAGCTTAAGTTTAGTTACACTGCCCTGCTGTTTGGTTCATGGAGATTTGCTACTGCTTGTTTATTTCTCCTTGGATTAATGTTTACGATTCTTCCCTCCTTGTTCATCTTTTTTTTTTTTTTTTCTCATTTTTGTTCGGATTGAATTTTTAAGTGTCACTAGATTGTTTTGTTTACAAGGAGTTATACATGGTAGGTTTAGTCTTCTTTTTTTTTTGGAGAAAAATAGTTATTGCCCCATTTGTTTGTTTTGAATGGATTGATAGTTAAAACTACGTCTTTAGGTTTTATTTGGTAGTTAAAAAATTAAATTTGCGGTTTGCTTTTACCCTAAGTCTGAGAAAGTAAGAATATGAGTAGCACACTGTGCTTATGATCAAGTCTTAAAATGTTCTCTCAGGGGTATTCTTAGTGCTTTATATGTGTTCCTTGCAGATTGCTTCTTTGCATTGAAGGTCTGGAATGCCCAGAAGGCTGGAGCTTCAGCAGTTCTTGTTGCAGATGATATTGAGGAAAAATTAATAACCATGGACACACCTGAAGAGGATGGATCATCTGCAAAATACATAGAGAACATAACAATACCATCAGCTCTCATTGAAAAAAGTTTCGGTGAAAAATTAAAGAATGCCATAAGTGATGGGGATCTGGTCAACGTAAATCTTGATTGGAGAGAGGCTGTCCCCCACCCAGATGATCGTGTGGAGTATGAGTTGTGGACCAACAGCAATGATGAGTGTGGGATTAAATGTGATATGTTGATGGAATTTGTGAAGGATTTTAAGGGTGCAGCACAGATATTAGAGAAAGGTGGTTACACTCAATTTACACCCCATTATATAACTTGGTATTGTCCTCAGGCATTCACATTAAGCAAACAGTGCAAGTCCCAGTGCATAAATCATGGAAGATATTGCGCTCCAGATCCTGAGCAGGATTTCAGCAGTGGTTATGATGGGAAAGATGTGGTTGTTGAAAATTTAAGGCAGCTATGTGTTTTCAAGGTGGCAAATGAAACCAAAAAGCCTTGGGTGTGGTGGGACTATGTAACTGATTTTCAAATTAGATGCCCAATGAAAGAGAAAAAATACAACAAGGAATGTGCAGATGCTGTCATTGAATCACTTGGTAAGTGAATCGTTATTGCCTATTTTCTTTTTCTGAGTGGTTGACAAAGACTTTTCAAATATGATTATTCAATATCTGCAGGTCTTGATATTAAAAAGATTGAAAGGTGCATGGGAGATCCAAATGCTGATTCTGAAAATCCTGTTTTGAAAGAAGAGCAAGATGCCCAAGTACTTTCCTTTATAACTTCATTTATTTATGTCATCATTCAATTGATTGTATCAGATTGTTATATATAGATGTTTAACAAACTAGTGTTTGTAGGTTGGGAAGGGATCACGAGGTGATGTTACCATATTGCCTACTCTAGTTGTCAATAATCGACAGTATCGAGGTTTGTACTGTATGCTTCTCTGATAAATAGTGATCTGAATTTCAAATTCTTAAAGTATATTTTATTTTATTTTTCCAGGAAAATTGGAGAAAGGTGCTGTTATGAAAGCTATTTGTGCTGGTTTTGAAGAAACTACTGAACCCGCTGTTTGTTTGAGCAGTGGTAAATGTTTTCTTTCAATTGGGGGAATATATTTTTGTTTACTTGTTACGTCAATTGTTCTGAACCTGATTCTTTTGGAGTGGCAAAATTTCAGATGTGGAGACAAATGAGTGCTTGGAGAACAATGGAGGTTGTTGGCTGGATAAAGCTGCTAACATCACCGCATGCAAGGTACTTTATACTTTAGTGAAACTAACTACCTATTAAGAGAGCAATTTGGGTTCCAGTTTATGCTTTTCCTTTTTATGTATGTGAATATTTTCTCAGGATACATTCCGTGGGCGAGTGTGTGAATGCCCCTTGGTGGATGGTGTGCAGTTCAAAGGAGATGGTTATACAACATGTGAAGGTTAAAATGCAATAAACTTTACTTTTCTGTTTGCATAAATTTCATCAAACTCTGTGCATGTTACTTGTAATTGAAGAAAATAAAAAGTATGAAATTAGAAGGATGCATACTTAAAATTGTGGAAAGTGATCCGCGGTCTTCCTATGCATAAAAGTTACTCATAATTCCTCATTTTTATTTTGCAAATTTGTTGTTCTTCGCTTAAATGAAATAAAGGGGTCCACGAGTTAATTATTTACTTATTGCCATCAACTCTGTGCAATGAGTTTTGAACATCTATATTAGAAATAGGTCTGGTTAAATATTTTTTAATAGGAGCCCTTTACTTCTAAATTTTTTAAATAGATCACTACTGGTTGATGGCCGTTCAACACCACTAACAGATTCTTACAGTCATTTGCAAGCCATTCTGTTTTATGATTATAGGTTTCAAGGATTGATTTATAAAACTTTTAAAATAATTGGGGCCTAATTGAAAACTGTGTTAAACTATAGGGACCTATTTAAAATTTTTGTAGAAGGATAGGGATCCCTTTAAATTTTAAACTGGAGGGAACTAGTTAAAAATTCAGTATAACTTTTGGAACCTAAATAATAATTTAACCTTTTTTAAAATATGCATTTGTAGTTTCATTCAACTAGTTTCTTCTGGGTTTGCAGCTAGTGGACCTGGGCGGTGCAAGATAAACAATGGAGGTTGTTGGCATGAAGCCCGGAACGGACATGCATTTTCTGCTTGTTCGGTTAGTAGTTACCAAATTTCTTGACACTTCACTCTGCTTTTTTTTGTCTCCACCAAATCTTTAATGTTTGAAATTCTTTTGGTTTGTAAAACCATAATGGAATTGCTTCCTGAACAGGATAATGGCGTAGTTAGATGCCAGTGTCCTGCAGGGTTTAGAGGTGATGGTATCAAAAATTGTGGAGGTGAGATATGTTCATGTTGTTTTTTATTTAATTTTTGTTGGAGTAAACCCCTGTAGTATATTGCGATTATCTAGAACAGTAAGGTATTCACAGCATCAAAATCCTGGATCCTGTTTTTAATATTGTTGTCAGGTGTAAGTGGATATTCTCATTAGTTTACAGATATGTGTATAATAGTAATAGGATCCATGGTTTATTGTATGTTCGGATTATAGTTTGCAAACCATGGTTTGAGACCAAATGGAAAAGCAACTTTTTTTATTTCCGCTCAAACGATTGTTTTGAGATCAAAATCATGTTTCAGCACAACCCAACTGAAATTTTGCAAAGCATGTTTGTATGAAAATGAAACTCTGTTTGCACCCTCAAAACTGGATTTTCAAACATGCTATAACTGTTTTATACTATGACTACATTACTACCTAATGCTGAAACCAGGGTCAAATTCCTTGCTCTCTCTTCTTTCCATTGTATGTAACATCCTCTTTAAATTTGTGTTTTTTTAAGTTAAACTCCTAATTACATTTTGAAATCAATGAATTGAGACATGAGAACAATAGAAATGACTTAAAATATAGACATATTGCTGTCACAGTAAGTGAAATGTTGGCTTCTATGTAAATTATACTTGGATAAACCATATTTTAACTAAATCTCACCATCAAAGTAGTCTTGTAGTCTTCTTAGTCCTTCGGGTTGACATTGTGAACTTGATGATTGATGATACCCGGGAATGTTTTCATCATAACTAAAACAATGAATATCTGAAGTTGAACTCCTGCTTCATCTTTACAGACATAGATGAATGCAAAGAGAAGAAAGCTTGTCAGTGCCCTGAATGTAGCTGCAAGAATACTTGGGGCAGCTATAACTGCAGTTGTAGTGGGGATCTTCTGTATATCAGGGACCATGATGCCTGCATAAGTGAGTTAAATATAAATACACTTCACATTTTTTTTTTCTTGCACAGACATTTGAATGTGCTTGTTTTCATATTCCCTACTGGGTATTCTGCAGGTAAAACTGCCAGTCCGGAGGGAAAATCTGCGTGGGCTGCTTTTTGGGTCATTTTAATTGGCTTAGTTCTGGCTGCTGGAGGAGCATACCTTGTGTACAAATATAGAATAAGGGTAAGCTTTGTCGCATTCTCGGTTTGGTGATGTTATTGGATGCCTTCTTTAATTCTAAATTTATTTAGCGTTATGGTGTGCTATGAGATCCTTTAATTAGAAACCTAAATTTGAGAACATGACATGTACAGCAGAAAATTTGGACTAGTCTGCTTCATCGGCATTTCTTCATTCATTATTTTCTGCTTCTATAAAGAAGCAAGAGACTTTTTCTTCATAATTTACTTTATTGTGTTTGATTGGGTAAAATGTGACCGGTATATTTCTTGGTGTTCTGCAGTCATATATGGATTCTGAAATCAGAGCCATCATGGCACAGTATATGCCCTTGGACAGCCAAGGAGACCTCGTAAATCATCATGTCAACGATGAAAGAGCATGAAAGGAAAAACTTGTCAGCCTTTTGGGATATCATGTGTGAAGCATGGGTGTGGCTAACCCTGTACCTTTTTGAGCTGTTGAGGATTCTGAGCATTGAATTTAATAGACTGTACCATATGGACAATAAAAAGGTTGAGAATTAGATAATTATCCTGCGTTTTTTATTGGGAATGTAGCAAGTTGTATACTTCAAAGTGCTGAGTTTAGGGCAGACTCGTTAAGTTATTTCACTAGATTTTAGGATTTCTGTTTATGTGACATCTTGTTCCACACTTCTGATATTGTAACCTGTCTTGCTTTTTAATACAGGCTTAAGTTAACCTTGTTATTCCATTTATTTGTGGGGGGGGGGGGGGTGTTCTTGCTTTCTTTTTTCTTTTCTTGGGTGGGGAATTCTGATTAATGCATATAACAATTTAGCCTATGAACTAGCCTCGGGGCCATTTTATATGTGGAGACTGCATGAAATAGCATTCCACTTGTGAGAATTGTAATGCATTACGGAATTAGTGATTCCTTTGTCTTATAAGATAGAGGTGATTGTACATCATCCCTGCCTACAGAAATGCCAACAAATACTTGGCATGAACCAATGTTTACGTACGATGAGCTTTTTTTTTAAAAAAAAAAAAGATTTTTCGTTTTGAAAGTCAGTTATTTTGCATTTGGATTAATATCTCGGAAATATTTTAAAATAAAACAGTATTTTTTTTTGTCAAAATACTGTTTTAATATTCAGAAACTTTTTAAAATCCAATAATTCATTGATGAGAAAATTACTATTTTAATATTCAGAAAGATGCATAAATTTGCAGGTGGTTCTGCTCCAAGACTATATTTGTATATATAATGATGTTGAGGGTTATACTTATAAACTTTTTATTTATAAATTCTTACAAACTTTATTATGTACTTTCGGAAGTATATTATGTTATATTATGTATTTTTGGAAGTACGTAGTGTAATTTACAAAAAATTGTAAAAAATGTTTATAAATAAGTCTTTCCTCTATAATGATTGGTGAAATTGAATGGCATAAATGGAATGTAATAAAATAATCATATTATTATTTAATTATTATGTAATAGAATGGAATAAAGTTTTTATTTTATTTTATCATATTTTATATTTGATCATTCTATTCTAGTCTATTTTAAACAATCTAAACAATGACAGTTAATGTGATTCTGCTTCATTTCATTCCTTTTCATCAATCCAAACATATCCTAAAAGGTTAACTATAGAGTCATTAAATGTTCAAATTTATTTGAGTTTAGTATTATGCAACCTAGTTGTGTATAACATGACCAAACTTTGATGAAATGGAATATTTAAGAAATCAAATTATAAAGTCAGTGCTTCATTCATTTATGATTTAAGAATTCAAATTAAATTGTGACGATAACAAATGATGATAGCTCAGTTGGTGCATGAGAACTAAGTAGGTGGTGGAATAATCTCGCTTCGATTCCTACCAATACCATCTTTGGGAGGGGATCTTAATCCGGGATTAGTCTCATAGCCGATTCAAAGAACTGAAGCTTGTCGGAATACTTAGGAAAACCTACTCGACTCAAAGAAATAACTAGAATTGGTATAAAAAAAAAGTGTATGTGACATGAAAGCACAGACTAATTTTTTAATCTTTAAGTAAATCATATAAGATGCAAGTGACTCGAAGTCAATAAAACGGTGAAACCAATCATAAATAATCAAGAAATCATAAATAGAGAGTCAAGAAATCAACTCAAAATGATGTCTCATTGTTCAAAAATACACAAGGCCCTCTTGATTAATTAATCTTATACTTCCTTAGGATTAAGTGCCAGTTAATAAATACTTATGAACATAACAGAAACATAACAAAATGCCAAGATGACATCCTAAGCTATTAAATTGCTGCATGCTCTTTTATTGTTATGCCATATATTTATGGCTGTTTGGTTGGGGTAATATTGAGGTCTAGTCCAATGTTCATTCCATTGTAAGCAATGGGAGCGTACATCCAGAGATCATCAGAGCTCAGAAGCTGTTAAATTGAAATCAAAATAGGGAAAACATGAGTGAGTCTCTATAAAGATAAATTGAGTAAGGACTAAAACAGGATCCTCAAGTTGTTACCTTGATTTGGAGCTGTAAAAACTTCACATATATGACAGCTTCCTCAAGCATGGTGCTGATATCTACCTGCAATTCATGAGTAAACAAACTTGAGAATTTTAGCATCTTAACCAATTGTATGGCAATAATTGGATTGCCATTGAGAAAGCTACCTTGGTTCCATTGGGGACTAAGTTTTGTAGGATTTTCAACCTTTCATTTATTCTTTCTCTTCTTCTCTGCATTATGCAAAAGGAAAATCTCTTGAGATCTAATCCTTCACAGTTCACAGTACATGGATAACAGTACAAGATCATTCAATTATAAGCAAGGATATTTTGATGAAATAAATGCACTTGGAAGAGGACATACTCTTGCATAGACGCTCTGTGGATCAGTAGCAGAACCTCTATTAGATCTTGACTTGCCCTTTAACTTCAAAGTTGTAGAATCCTTTGGACTCAAGCTTGAACACCCTCCTCCATTTAGCTCCTGAGAAGCATTGGGGTCATCATTATCTGAGCGGCAATTGCTCAAGCTCTGCCCCTGAAGATCATGACTTCTATCCTCTTCAGTGTTGCTTACAAAAGCAGATTTTGGTTTCTTCATAGATTTAACATGTCTCTTGTTCTTCCGGACCTATAAAATCATTAAATCAAAATTATCAGAACCACACAATATAAAACACATACCATAATTTCTGCAGGTAAAGCAAATGCTTATCACTATGACTAGGAAAAAACAGTAGAAAGTGATCTATTTAGAAAAAATAAAAATAAAAATGACTTGTGTTATTCTACCTCCATTGAGCTTCTAGATCTTTTTCCCGACTTCTCCTCCAGGTTGCTGGCTATATCCTCTTCTGCTGGTTCAGAAACTAGTACTTCACATTCTTTGTGAGCCTGCAAATTTTTGTCAGCAATAACCTCTAGACCTAACTCTTCGTCAGTGTTTTCATCTATCTGTTGGCTATCATTCCCTTGAACACTATATGGGGCGAATTTGGCATTCCCCAAGGAAAAACCCATGGACATGTAGCCAATGTTTGCTACTGAATCATTCAAGAAACAGTTTTCACCACTTGTAGTAGGAAATATATTGCTACTATCATCAGCAGTGAAGCTACTTCCTTGTGAAAAAGGAATAAAAATAGTATTACTATTATCAGCATTTGCTGGAAAATATGAGCTGTTGTTGCTGCCAGTCACACTCACTATTGTGGATTCATGGCCAGGCCATAATGCAGATGGAATTCCCAAATTGAAATTTCCATACAAGTTCTCAGGGATTGAGCTGTTACTAAGGAACTGGCTCATAAAATCAGCTTCCTCAGCAGTGTACAATCCACTAAGAGAACTCCATTCTTCAGAAATTTGCTCAGCAGGATCCATTTTCTTTCTTTGGTAAGAGTCTTCCGTTTCAGTTGTTATTGTAAAAGAAGCTCTACTTGTTTCAATGCTTCAATAGTTGAATGAGATCAATACATCTATTTATACCCAACAAACAGAAAAAAAAAAAAAAAAAACCACTACATATAAAAAGGTCTCAATTCATGATTGCCAATAATTAGCATCTGACAAAGTCCTACCCTTAAATAAAAATGTATAAGTCCTTGATGGGACCACTTAGAACTCAAAAAGGACATAGTTGAAGTATTTGGTTTACAATAGAATATTATTAACCCCAATACAGATTACAAAGACATGAAAATTCTTCCAATGGGTGAGAGAGAAGCACAATCAACAACATCAACACCAACAACACCTTTATCCCAAATTAATTGGGGTCGGTGGTAGATGATAAAAATATAGCTGTTTTTTACGGCCGGTTCGCAACACCTGACGCCAACCCTCCTCCTTTATCCTGGGCAGAGTTAGAGAGAAGCACAATATTTTAAGTATTTCTTAAGGAGAATGAGGAGATTTGGAGGACTGCAGAAAGGAGATAGACAAAGAATTACACCTGTTAATTGTGAGGCCGACGTGGGTTTGGCATTGAAAATGATATTATAAGAATTCTGTGTTAGGTAAAATGAAAATGACGGCATGAGATCGTGGTGATGAGTCTGAAATTTTAAAACAAGTTTGAGAACTAGACAGCATTATCTGTTAACTGTATTTTTGTCCCCTCCAGAGCTGTTAAAAACCTACCACATTCTCTTCATGATTTCAACTCAGCTTTCAGTTATAGATTTGCAGTTATATGATTTCAACTCAGCATTTTATGTTAATGCTGAGTTGGTATGCAGGGCAATAATCAAGATACGCAGTAGGTTAGAAAACTATGAGAAAATTAATCATTTATGTTCTGGTTTCATGGTAGTGATCTATTCTCGGTTGTATTTTTTAGCATTGGAATATAGGGACAGCAATATATTCTTTCTGACATATCGATTAATAAAGATTTCTTGTTTTTTCTACATATGTTTACGTGTGTGTGTATCAAATAGCAATTCAAATGGTGAATTAAGCTAATTTTTGAATCTTGAATCCTAAATCGTATTGTCAGATGCGGGGAACAATGTTGAGATATATAAAATCATTAATGTAACCTCATCCAACAACTTAAGCTTTTGGGTTGAATTGGTTCTTTATATGATATCAGAGCCCTCGATGTACCGGGTTCGATCCTCACCGCCTTCATTTTCTTTCTTGTGGAATTTCTGCCCAGTGAACTCTCGTGTGAGGAGGGGGCGTGGAGTCAGGGATCACACACACACATATATATATATATAGGAAAAAAGTATCTAATATTACTTTAGATAACTTTGAACAATGTCATTTTGGGATTGAAAAATTAAAAAATTAAAATGATAAAGACTATTATAACCTTGGAATAAATTAAAATTACACAAACACCATGATTTATGTCCTAAAACGACATCGTTTCGGTGAACATTAGATAAAGTTATCTAAAGTAACTTTAGAAAAAACAAACCCTATATATATATATATATATAGGGTTCGCTTTTTGTTATGTGACATGACTAGAGCACTTTCCTGCACACACAAATCAAGTGTGGGTCCCACGCTTAAAGAAAAAATTCAGACCAAAATCAGGATACGACGCTGTATCCTTAAGATACGGACGCGGATCTTTGTTGCAGGAATGAACAGTGTCATTCCTGCAACATGATTCTTATATTTCCCATATATATATATATATGGGTTCGCTTTTTGGCTATTTGACCATTTTGCCCCTCATTAATTAATTAATAACTATTTTGCCCCTGATTCAAAACTATCCACCAATCTGCCCCTCTTTAATCGATTAACTTGCATTTTTAATCGATTAAATGGTTGTTGGGAGATTTAATTGACTAAATCTCCCTACTTAATCGATTAAAAAATCATACTGACTTGTTTCCCTTTGTTGCCTGTTGGGAGATTTAATCGATTAAATAGGGAGATTTAGTCGTTAAATCTCCTAACAGCCATTTTTGCCTGTTTTGACCATTTAATCGATTAAAAATACAAGGTAGTCGATTAAAGAGGGGCAGATTGGTAGATAGTTTTGAATCAGGGGAAAAATGGTTATTAATTAATTAATGAGGGGCAAAAGGGTGAAAAAGCCTTCGCTTTTTCTACGATCAATGTAGATAACTTATCTACAGTGAGCCCAAAACGACGTCGTTTTGGAGCGGAAATCAAGGTATTTTTGTAATTATAATTTATTTCAAGGTTATAATAGTCTTTTTCATTATAATTTTTTAATTTTTCAACCTAAAACGACATCGTTTTGAGAACAAATGTAGATAATTAGGGGTGCTAAACGAGACAGGGGCCTTTGGCTCGGCTCGTGAAGGCCTGAGCTTTTACGTCTAAAATTGATTGTTGGAACAAGGCTTAGACTTGTATAAAAGCTCGTTAAATAAAAAGGCATCAGGCTTCAATTTAAAAGCTCGGCCTTAGAGCCTCTCAGGCTAACCTAATATATTAATTTTTATTTTTATTTTATATTTTTTATACTACTTGTGATAGCTCTCTCTCTCCTCAATCCATTTCATCCCATTTTATTAATTAAATAGACTTTTTGAATGATTTTGTTTTATATTATGCTGTTTGGATATACATTAAATTTATGAATATTTATGGAATTACTAATGCTGTTGACTGTATATTTTGTTTGGATAAATTTTTGTTGTCTTATTTTGTTTTAAACAGGCTAAGAGGCTAAACCAAACTTTTATTTTTTTGTAAATAAGACAGGCCACAAGCTGAAATTATATTCATAACAGGTAACAGGTTTGGTCAGGCTGACACATTTAAACACAGGCTTAGCCTTTTAAGACCAAAGCTCGGCTCGGCCCGTTAACACCCCTATAAATAACTCCTCTACGTTCACTTTAGAAACATTAAAGCTTATATATATATGAGGAGGGATATTCTCACTACCAAAATTTTTCACTACCAACTTACTACTTATCTAATCACCATTAGATTAACATTTTCTCTCTCTTCAAAAACTTTTTAACATTCTCTCTCTTTGATCCAATGGTGATGTGATGGGTATTAAGTTAGTAGTAAGAACTTTTGGTAGTTAGAATATCCTCGCTCTCTCTCTCTCTCTCTCTATATATATATATATATATATATATATATCAATCTATGAGGAGAGAGAAAAAAAGTAATTTTAATGTTATAACTATGTTCTTCCGGAAGAACATAGTTATAAATGTGGGGTGTTGAGATATATAAAATCATTAATGTAAACTCATCCAACAACTTAAACTTTTGGGTTGAATTGATTCTCTACACATATCATATAATATAATGCTGGAATTAATTATTTTAAATTTGGGATTCAGAATTGGCTGAACAACTTCTCACAAATTAAAATCACAAGTTATAACTGAATCATATAAAGTGAATGCATGAAACTTATAAAGAATAGTTGAATCATTCCATTAGTATTTTTTTTTTTTTGAAATATTCCAATTGGTTCATCGCTTTGCGACTAGTCCGATTCGGAGCTTGTCTCCGGGTTAAGACTTTAAATCTCTCTCAAAGAAGATATTGGGAAGGATCGAACTCTCACCCCCACCGAGTTCCATGACGCCAAGTGCTACCATTATTTGATATCATTCTATTCGTATTGATGGTACATAATCGCATCAATTTATACATGTTTCATATTATTCAAAGCAATATTCAAATGATCACATGATACAAATCCTAGCTTGCCAAATTGTATCGAATCGTGCTATTTGAATTGCTAATCTTTCCTTTCTAACTCCTCCGTGAGTATGTCAATGCCCGGACGATTGGATCATTTAGATGAGACATTCCGCTTACACAAAGTAAAAGAATGTTATATACAAGGTAAGTCATGCTACAATCCTTAGCGAGGGATTATGGTGTTACTTACGCACCACGACTTAAATGAATATAAGTCTTAACATGAATCGAACCCACGAGACTTTTTTGTCTCACACTAATAATCTCTATTCTCTCGTATATATTTCCCTTAAATTGTAGCATGACTTACCTTGTATATGGCATTCTATTTCGTTTTTCTTTGTGCAAGAGGAATCTTACAGTAGGAAGAATCTCATCTGAATTGTTAGAGATATATATAAAAAATCATTATTGTAGTCTCAACTACCAGCTTAAGTTTTGAGTTAAATTGATTCTTTACATGGTATCAGAGTCTCGGTGTCACGGGGGTTCATTCTCACTGCACTTTATTTTCTCTTGTGGAATTTCTTAGTAAGTGGGCCCGTGCATTATCCACTCTTTAGGCCGCCTAGTGAGCTTTCATTTGAGGGGGCGAGTTAGAGATATATAAAAATCATTAATATAGTTCGATCATTGTCACCTCCTACTTTCTCTTCTTCAATTTCTTAGCACAAGTAAGTTGAGCCTAATGCATTATCCACTTTTCGAGCCCAATGGGTTCTTGTGTGAGAGCGTATTAGAGATATATAAAAAATCATTAATGTAGCCTCACCTGTCAGCTTAAGCTTAAATCTTGGGTTGAATTGGTTTTTTACGTAAATAATTGCTCTTACTTTAATATTCTTCCTTAGCGAAAGATCTAATCAGATGAGAGATTCTTCCTGCTGTCAGATTCCTCTTACACAAATTAAAAAATAATTGAAAGCTATATACAAGGTACGAACTTAAATTAATGTAAGCCTTCAAAATCAATGATGTACAATATATTGCGGAAGAAGACTCAAAAGACTCAAGTATTAGGATACTCTAATCCTCCAATTTGTTCACATAAAGAGTCAAGAAGTTAACTCAAATTGATGTCTCATTGCTCAAAAATAAAAAAATGGGATTGTTTGATCAATTAATCCTGACCATAACTCGCAGGATTCAGAGCCATTTATACAAAATAACTCAACAAAAACATCATAAAATGGCAGTCTAAGCTAATGAACTATCAAATATCATCCTCCTTTGGTTGGAAAAATACTGAGGTCTAGTCCAATGTTTATTCCATTGTAAGCAATGGGAGCATACATCCAGAGATCGTCAGAGCTCAGAAGCTGTTACATTCAAATCACAATATTGGAAAACAAAAATGAATCAATCACTATCTTTCCTAAATAAGCAACTGTAAAATGGAAAATAATATCTTTGCACTCAGCTAAAATTTAGATGCAGAATAAGTTGTTACCTTAATTTGGAGCTGTAAAAACTTCACGTATTGTACAGCTTCCTCAAGCATGGTGCTGATATCCACCTACAATTCATGAAGAAACAAAGCTTGAGAATTTGAACACCTTAACCAACTGTCCAGTAAAGTTCAATTGCCGTTGAGAAAGCTACCTTAGTGCCGTTGGGGACAAGGTTTTGCAGTATTCTCAACCTTTCATTTATTCTTTGTCTTCTCTTCTGGACAGTGCAAAAAGAAAAACCCTTTAGACATAATGAAGATATTTAGCTGAGAGAAAAGACAAGATTATTAATACAGTGATAATAATGGCATGTGCAATATTCTCTTCATCAAAGGGGACTTACTCTTGCATAAAGGCTCTGTGGATCAGTGGCAGGAATGCTGGTAGCTCTTGGTTTTGCAGGATCTTTTGGGCTCAGACTTGAAGATGCCCTTCCATTTAGCTCCATAGAATCATTAGTCTCACCCTCTGAAAAGATGCTGCTGGAACCATGCATTTGGAGGCCAGCGCTTTTATCATCTTCATTGTTGCTCATAGAAGCAGAGTTTGGATTCTTCCTCGATTGTACATTCCTCATGTTTTTTGAGAACTACATAATAAAATCATGATCAGAATGTACACAAGTATACGGCATAAAGAAAAATAGAAATAAAACACTAGGAACTAGCAAGCAAGTAGCAGATTTTTAAGTTGGTATTATTCTACCTCTATTGAGCTCCTAAATCTTTTTGCAGGGTTCTCCAAGTTTCTGCTTATACCCTCTTCTGCATGTTCAGAAACAATCATTTTATACTCCCTCTTAGCCTGCAAATTGTTGTCAGCAAGAACCAGTTTCCCTGGGCCTAGTCTTGACTCTTCATCAATGCTTTCATTGATATGTTGGTTTAAGTTGTCATTCCGTTGAAAACTATCTGAACTAAATTTGACATCTCCAAAGCAAAACACCATGGACTCGGAGTCAAAGTTTGTTGCCGGATCACAGGAGTAGGTTCCACTACTTGTAGTGGAAAAGAAATTACCACCATCAATGCTGGAGCTATTCCCTTGGGAGAAACAGGAAAAATTAGTATTTGCAACATTTGAAGGAAAATATGAATTGCTATTGGTGCCTGTCATGGTCACTATTGTTGATTCATGGCCGGGCACAAAGGCATATGGCATGCCAAAACTGGTATTTGCGCAGTGCTTCTCTGTGACAGAATAGTTACCACAAAGCAACTGAGCCATAAAGTCAGCTTCCTCAGCTGTGTACAAACCACTAAGAGAACCCCATTGTTCAGAAATCAACTGAGCTGGTTCCATTTTTTTTTTCTCCCTTTTAAAACCTGTGAGAAAGGAGGGTCCTCTTGTTCTAGTGTGATAGTATGTAGAAGAACTGAAGAAGCTTGATTTGTTTCAATGCTTTAATGATAGGAAAAGTGAGAGCAGTACTAGTACATTTATACCCAACAAACTAGGAAATGCCAAAAAGGGATTGGATTCATCTATAGAAAAAGATCCCATTTATAATTGACAAGAATTAGGTGATGACAAAGCACTAATACCCTAAAATGAATTTGCATTTGTCCTTGATGAGACAACTTAGAGGTAGGGGTGTGTAAAAAAACGGGTTCACTTGCCCTGCTCTTGATCCGACCTTGACCCGACCCATAAATACCCATATTTTTTAAACTGGTTTAAATACTGACCCACTTTTATTTGGGTTAGTTTTAGACCTGACTCGTTTTAATATTGACCCACTGACCCAAAACTTGACCCATACCCATTATGTGAAAAAAAAATCACAATTACATTAAAAGAAAAGTTTTAACATAAAACAATTACGTCAAAATTTTTTATGGAAAATATTTTCATAAAAAATTTCGCAAAAATTTTTTACGAAAAATATTTTCATCAAAATTTGTGACTAAAAACATATCAGTAAAAAAATTTGAAGGAATATTTTTTTTGTCAAATTTTTTTACGCAATCTAAATTTCGTCAAAATATTTCACAAAAAAATATATTCATAAAAACTTTCGACGAAACACATTTTCATCGAAATTATTTGACGGAAAAAAATTTCATCAAAATTCTTTACAGATTTCAAATTTCAGTGAAAGTTTTCGATGGAAACATTTTCGTTAAACTTTTTGACAAAAAAAAATTTCGTCGAAATTTTTAGCGAAACACATTTCCATCAAAAAATTTCGACTAAATATTTTCGTCAAGTTTTTTGATAAAGAATATATCCATCAAAATTTTCAACGGAACACGTTTCTGTAAAAAAAATTCGTAAAATATTTTGATAAGAAATTTTGACAGAAAAAATATTTTGTCTAAATTCTTTAGAGAATCTAAATTTCGTCGAAAGTTTCAAATGAAACATTTTCCTCAAAACAATTTCCATTGAAAATTTCGACGAAACACATTTCCATCAAAAAATTTCGACGGCAAAAAATTTAATTAAAATTCTTTACAGATTTCAAATTTCGGCGAAAGTTTTCGACGAAAATATTTTCGTCATCAAAAAATTTTGACGGCAAAAAATTTCGACAGCAAAAATTTCATCAAAATTCTTTACATATTTCAAATTTTGGCGAAAATTTTCGACAGAAACATTTTCGTCATCAAAAAATTTTGACGGCAAAAAATATCGACGGCAAAAAATTTCATCAAAATTCTTTACAGATTTCAAATTTCGGCGAAAGTTTTCGACGGAAATATTTTCGTCATCAAAAAATTTTGACGGTAAAAAATTTCATCAAAATTCTTTACAGATTTCAAATTTTGGCGAAAGTTTTCGACGGAAACATTTTCGTCATCAAAAAATTTTGACGGCAAAAAATTTCGACGACAAAAAAATTCATCAAAATTCTTTACAGATTTCAAATTTCGGCGAAAGTTTTCTACTAAAAAATTTTCATTAATTTTTTTGACAAAAAAAAAATTTCGTCAAAATTTTTAGCGAAACACATTTCCATCGAAAATTTTAAACTAAATATTTTCGTCAAGTTTTTTGATAAAAAATTTCCATCAAAATTTTCAACGAAACACATTTCTATAAAAAAAATTCGTAAATTTTTTTGACAAAAAAAACATTTTGACGAAAAAAATATTCTGTCAAAATTCTTTAGAGAATCTAAATTTCGTCGAAAGTTTCAAATGAAACATTTCCTTCGAAATAATTTCCGTCAAAATTTTCGTCAGAACACATTTCCATCGAAATTTTGAACGAAAAACATTCCGTCAAATTTTTTAACAAAATTCTTTTTCGTTTAAAACATTTGATTGAAGAAATCATTTTCGTCAAAACTGTTGACGGAAACTAAATTTTAATAGAAAAATTTTTTTGTAAAAATTTCGACGAAAAAATAATTTTGTGACGAAATTTTCGTATTTTGCAACGTAAAAATTTCGACAAAATTTTGTGAGAAAACCAAGTCAAAAACGGGTCAGGTCAGATTTGACCCAGTTCAGAAACCAAGTCAGACCCACTTCAGAAACCAAGTCAGGTCAGATCCAAACTGGTTCTGAACTAGTTCAACAAAATCCAATCTAAGTCAGACCTGACTTGGATCAAATTAAAGCGGGTCGAGTCAAAATACCTGACCTATATAAACCAAGTTGGGTCGAGTCGGGCAAAAACCTGACCCGACCTGACCCATGCACAGCCCTACTTAGAGGACCCAGCTCAAGGTCTTTATCTGCATTAAATTAGTAATCCTTGAGCGGGGCTTAAAATTTCCCCCAGGTGAGAAAGAAACACAATGATCAAATATTGATGAATGAGACTGGGTTTGATACTAGGTACATTAGAGGACAAAGAAGGAGAATGAAAATTGTCAATTTTGAGACATGGGGTTGGTCCTGAATGTGATATTAATATAATAAGTAACTAGTTGTGTTAGACAGAACGAACGAAAATGACGTGGGCAATAGAAGGACTTGAGCTTTAGAATCTCATGTCTGTCAAACATTCTAAATACCTATTTTATTTGAATCAGATAGAGACTTTGTTGTCTGCCAACTGGATTCAGGTACCCTTCGGAGCAGTTTAAAACCTATCGAGTTCAAGATTCTGTTTTGTTAGTATTTTGGAACCATTTAACCAAGATTCTGTATGTTGACGTTGTTTCTATTGGTTTGTCATGACGTCTAAATCATAGTTTATTTTTGCTTGATATTTAAAGTGTCTAATAATTCAGTTTGGTAATCAGCTTAACATTTCATTCTTTTTTTCTCCTAATATTTTTAGTAACAAACCTATATATAAATTATAAACTTTTTGGGGGGCATTTGTGGCAACGCAACGCCCCTTATTCAAAATGAAAGCCTCCAAAAAGAATTAGAGATGTAACCATTATAAGAAAATTGGTATTTAGAGGTTGTTCAACTGAAACCGTCTCCAATTGATACATAGAGGCAATATTTTCGACGGTTTAATTGATTCGAGACAGTTGAGGTGAAACTGTCTCCAAATGTGTACTAGAGATGGTTAAAATAATTGTCCTCATTTATCATTTAGAGGCAATTATATTAAAACTGCCTCTAATTTCTACCTTTAAAGGCGGTTAAAGCATAACCACCTCCAAATGTATATTAGACGTGGTTATTTCAGCAGTTTGTTAAAATCGTCGTATTTTGCCTCATGACAGTGATAAACGAAGTGATTCATGAACCACCAAACCAAGTATTTAGACACGGTTTAAACCGTCTCAAAATACAAATATAACTGCTTTGAAAACTAATTTTCTCGTAGTGAACTAGCTAAAGAAGAAAACAAACGAGTCACTAGGATTTAGATTTTAGATAATTAGCATAAGATTAAGCATTTAGGTTTACAGCAATGTTATTAAACCCGGATCGGTGATCGACCCGGTCGGGGTACCGGGTCGCTGGGTCACTGGTTCAACCGCATGAACCGGATATATATATAAATTTATATTTTATACTCAATTATATAATAAATATTTTAAATGGTGCAAGTGAATTAAGAACCAAATGTAGTTTAGTGGTAAAAACTATAGTTTATATCTTCATAACAAGGGTTCGATTTCCACTAAATGCTATTTTGAAATAATTCTATTAAATGATGCACATTAACCAACAAATAAACTGAGTCCAGTGGTAAGTTGTTGTTGGCATTCTCATGAGACTTGAGTTTGAATCCCAGCGACTACTGCAACATTGAAAATATTTTTTCGAAAACCGGTTGAACCGCAGCTCTTAACCGGTTCATCAAGTCAATCGCTTGTCCGGTCCATTGCAAGAATCAGACCATTTGATGTGCCAATTTCCGGTCCATTGCAACACTGGTTTACAGTACTAGTTACAAGATAGATATGTTCACTGTACAATCATTATAATTTTATAATACTACGTGTGCTCATATTTTAAGCGACCTTTCCCCACGCTTTAATATATGTGACATTGCAAAATTGTAGCTATAGCGTATAAGTTGTAAAATGGAAAATTACTGACTCAGCCACTTGATATTATGATGAAGGATTTAATAGCCAGTCTGGTTGAAGTTCAATAATTTTCGGTTGTGTAAAATTCAGTTTATAGAAATTCTGTTTACATGATAAACTTTTTATTATCAACGAATCAGTGACTTGATCATCTGTCGGGTCGATCGCAATTTAGATTTGATATTAATTAATATGAGAAGATAATTTTATATTCATATAAGAATAACAAGTCTTATTTATTAAAAAAAATAATAAATTCTATATACAATTTTAATCGCTAAATTTATTTACATTTGATAATTCACATGATTATTAAATTAAAATCGTTACATGTAACTGAGACCAACCACTAAGATTAAGCGTAAAATTTGTTATTTTAACACTTTTATTAATTAGTTGTAATAGAATTTTAAAAATATCATAAATACTAAACATAACTTATACATAAAATTGTATGCATAAAACACAGCTCGATGAATTTTTTATATTATATGACAAAAGTCATATGCCGGAGGCTCATACTTACACTAAAGCTGTGCTTCATAAACACAACTTGCTTTTGGTAGTCTTAGTTAATTGCATGGGTTCAAGCAAGTCATGGCCATTATTCGCGAATTTATTATAAGTAGCGTCTCATATAAATCATGTTTACAAAGTTTTATATCAATCTAAGAATGTTTAAATTCTAAAAAAATAAAAAATAAATTAAAATCAACATAAAATATGATTTACTGTGTTTACTTCATAGGAAAAACTACTCTTATGCTACATGTGATAACTTTCTATTCTACACATTCTTCGATAATTGTGCCACATTTTTTTGTCTTTTCTTTTTATTTTTCAGATGGTG